AGCACTGCTAGAGAGTAAGAAGTGCTGTAGATGAGCAGCTCATCACACCAGGAAACCTCAGCATCTCTTGCAGTAGATAAGCTTGATGCCATTGTAGGCTGGAGACAGCTGGTAAGGCAAAGCCAGCTCTGTGTGGAGGGTTACTTTGTGCAATCCTTTCTTAGCTTTTCTTTGAGGTGCCAAACTTCCCAACTGGCTGTGGCGTATGTTATATGTGCCCAGAGACCTTGGCTTGTTTTGAGGCTTTGTCTGTTTTGAAGAACATTAAAAAACTAAATGAGGCTGTCTCTGTTTTGAAGAACATTAAAAAACTAATGTTTGGAGGAGAGGAGTCAGTGCTGGGAACCATTTGATTAAATAACCCCAGGCTGCTTCTGTCCTCAATTAGCAGAGCAGTGATCAAGCCTCTCTGACTATCCCTGTGGATTTTAGGTATGTGTGGCTCACCCTAAACCCTACTGCTGTAAGATTTGCATCCATAGCAAGGTAAGGAAATGGATGCTCTGGTAGCAAACAGCTCAGCTCTTTCTGAATGTGTCTGTATACCTGTTGCAAAAGCATGAGGCTGTCCTGTCTTGGATGATGAGCAGCTTCTAGCTGATGGTTGTGTGTCTGTATACCTGTTGCAAAAACATGGGGCTGTCCTGTCTTTGATGATGAGCAGCTTCTAGCTGATGGTTGGTATAGTACCATGACAGGCTACATTTCTAGCTGAACAGGAAAGCACAAACGGCTAAACCCATGTGAATGACACATACTACAACCTGCTGGGTTTGACCCCAGTGTGTCCCAGTTGCAACTTTGGGCATAGAGTTGTGGCTTCGAATTTTTTATCTTTCTTCCCTCTTTTTCTTTTCCCACTAACCTTTTCCCACCACCTCAGAAGACTCGAAATCCTTTTTCTAGAAACCAGCAGGGTTCAAAGCCAGTATTCTGATTATATAAACAGGCTTATTTCCTTGTGCTTTGCCTCAGCATAGCACTGGCTTGTTTTCCTGGAAATCCTCTAGAAAGAGTCAATTTCAGTATTGGTGTAGCTATGTCACAGAAGGCAAAGTCAAAATGGCCTCTGAGCTGCAGTGTATCCAAATCTTTTGTAGCAGTAACTATTCAGGCAAAATTGCTCCAAACTTACCTTTTGAGGGAAAAATAGTTCCTGCCTTTGTGTCACATAGTCCCTTCCTCCACCTCCTTGCATGCCCTGTAAAAGTTAATTCATTACTGTTTGTAAAGGACTGTGCATGTCTCTGCTGCCAAATGCCACTGAGGGACCCTGTGCTTCTGTTGGGTCTGCTTGTTTGCTTTCCCTCTTGGCAGCATGCTGTGACATGGCCTTCTTCAGGGCAGTAAAAATAATTAATTTTAAAAAAAGCGACCCTCCAACTACACAAAATGCAAAGCAACAAAGCGTGGAGCCTTACTTAGACTGCCTACAAGGAAAACTGAGTTTCCAGTAGGCCACTGGCCTGTGCAAGAGGTTTTTTCTCATGTTTTAAGTCTTGAATCTGAACTGTTGCATGAAAATGTTTTTTGTGTCCTGATTTTTGTGGCAGGGGGGTTGAAACTAGATGTGTCTTTAAGGTCCCTTTCAACTTTACATAATGATATCTGTGATTCTATGATACACATTTCTGTGTTTTGATAGTTTGTTACAATGCCTGAAATATATTGGGCTGCCAGATCCTCTTGAGAGGACATGAGAGTGATCCTCACTCTGACCTTCCTCATACAGGCGGTTAAGCATTGAAACTTTCTGTTCATTTTCTTCCTGCCCCTCCCCATTCTTTCAAAGTCCTGAACACAAGGAAAACCTCAGTTTGCTGAAGCACGGGGTGAATGAATGCAGTGACCTACATGGTGCCGAACTCTTCCCGAGACAGTGCTGCAAGGAAACAGCCTCCGAACGTGGGTTCCGGGAAGGCTGCCAGTTTCCATTCCCATCAGAGCTGGCGTATGGGTGGAGGGGAGGCTTGCTACAGCCACTTCACCTTGGTGGCAAGGCAGCAGAGGGTCTGCTCTGCACTTGCCACAGCCACTTCACCTTGATGGCAAGGCAGCAGAGGGTCTGCTCTGCAATGGAAAGCCAAAAAGCCCCTGAATTTCTGTTGGGAGGCAGCAGTCTTCCTTAGTGGTTTGCTTTGTTCCTGCTTGCTCCTCTGAGCTGCTCTGGTTGCTTACATGCCTGTGGTTACCCCCTTCCTTGTGTGTTGTGTTGCACAAGGGCTTTGGGTGCCCTTCTGCAGTGTTTGGGGCACTGTGCTGGGGCTTCTTGTTGGTCTGCAGCTCCCATGAGGGGCAGGGCTGGCTGTCCTGCGCTGTGCAGGGTGAGGCTTCCCCTTGATGTGGGTGAAGAGGTTGAGCAACACAGCCCAGAAGGCTCTGATTCAGCCTTCTCCTTGCTCTTGCCAATTATTGTGACCCTTCTAATTTTCTTGTCTGCAGCATCTTCTCTTTAATTTATTCTTTTTCTGTAACAGAGAATTTAAAGAGTTATACTTTAGGTTACTTCCTAATCTGCCATGCTTAGGATGGACTACATGGGAGACAGAAAAGGACTTGGGAAACTGATGTGTATAATTCTCTTCCCAGAGAGCAGACCCTCTGTGTGATTGGGGTATCTCATGTGTGGGATTGAGCCTGTATTGGATTTGCATCAGCAACAAATACCTTGGCTTTAATTTTTAGGGCAATGATGTCTGCTTGCTGCAACAGAAAAGCTTTATTGTGTTTGGATTTTGGGTGCACATGCCAGTGAATCTGTGGGGTAGGCTGGGACAGAAGGGGTGCTAGGTGGGGAAAGCTGGCATTCTGATAATAAAATGCTGTCTGTGGAGTTCAGGAAAAATGTGTATGTGTAAAAATAAATTATGCTGTCCTGTGGTGCATTGTGTTTTGCACTAATAGAGCTAGTTGGTCAGTGGAGCACCTCCCAAATATTTCCCACTGCTAGGATGGAAGTCCCAGTGCTGTTTGAAATGAGTGCAGTGCATTAACAGAGTATAGCTGTTAATTTTATCAGTTGTTTTCAGTTGGTCCTAGTTTTCCAAACATTGTGTTTTGAGATGAAACTCTGTGGAGTTTTATTTTCCTGGGAAGCGTGCATGGAAAAACTTGATCCTGTTTGAATGCAGTTAGAAGGATGAATATGTGCTGTTGCCATATGACTTCTTTTAGGAAATTTTGTTTGAGCTGCAGCAAATTCACAGTAGAAATCAGAAGCATGGCAGGGAGAAATAAAACAGCTCTCACTTGTTCTGTGTCAGCACTGTGTGTGGCAGTGGGTCAGTCAGTGCTACTTCATTAAAGGCAAATTGTTTCCTTGGTGAAATAGTGGCTTTTTATCATATGTCAGTAGCTGAGTGCCTAAGTGGAGTTGCTTTTATCAAACTGAGGTGTGGAAATATGAAGGAGTGTCGCCTGAAAGGTAAAGCTTCTTTTAAGATGCTCTAGCTGGATGCAAAAGGCCCCACCAGACAGTACTAAAGACAGAATTTGCTTTAAAAGCTAAATTTATCAGCTTAAAGGTATACAGCTAATGAAATGTATGGTGTTGTACCATAATACTGACTGATGAATGTACACTGTGAACAAGTCTGGGTTTGTCCTTCTTTCTCAGAATCTTGTGAATTCACTGATCAGTGGGAGGAGGCAGTTGGAGAATAAGAATGGCAGAGGTTGTGGGAGTGTGTGTGTTTAACTTACTGGGGTGTGATGCAGAAATGTAATATTAGCACAAGGCATAGGAAAACTGAAATTGCTCCTCCAGGAGCACACGTTGAATCTGTGGTAGCGCTGAGAATTGAACTTACGTCTTAATTTGTTGATGTCTTATTTTCCCACGTTGCCATCCTTGTAATGTTTTCTTGCTATGATGTAACATGTGTGAGAATACTTAGTTGCTTTCCTTAGGCGAGGATTTGTTGGTTAAGTGTGAACTTTACAATTAACTGGCAACAAATGTGTTGGCAGTTCCCTTTTCATTTTGAACCCACAAAAATTATTTCAAGTGTGGGTCCTTGGCAAACTCCAGCTGGCTGAATCGGTGATCTTGGTGATTTGCTGAGAATACCACTGCCAGTTATGCCATGCTGAGGCATGGAGCCAGAGCAACAAGGAGAGTTGTGTCCTAGGTCCTGCATGTGTTTTGGCATTTTAAAGCACCATAGCTCTGGCTTGTTTTGAAATACTGTCCTTTTTGTTGGTAACAGTGCCTACAGACATCTCTCTCTGTTTTCACATTGCTTGCAAAGGAAGGGACCTCTGGGTTGAGCCTTTCCTGCTGCTGGCACATGTGCTTGTTTTGCTTCCATGTGTCATCATTTTATGTGGAGGCATCCCTTCAAAGGGATGAAGGGAGTGTCACTGCTCCTTATTCTGTCCCTAGCCTGGGATTTAACAAGCAATACTGAGGTAATCCCGACTCTGGCAGTCATACTCCTCAAGCAGAGATCTTATCGTGCTCTGTGAAAACTAGAGAGAGCACACTCTTGTCAGTGCTGAGATGGAGGAGATCTGAGGAGCTGTGAGGTGTGGCTGAAAATGACTCAGGGGGAAAAACATCCATCCTGAGCTGGTCCGTTCATCTAGGCTGGCCAGCTGGAGCAAAACCTGTGCGGTGTTCTGATCTTCAGCCTGAGCAAGATCTCTGTGGCACAGCAATTGTACTGCTGAGGTGGGATGAGCTCTTGTTCTGTAATTTCCCATACTGCAGGCAGCCTAGTGCTTCAGTTTGTGCTGCCCTTGTTTCAGGATTTCCTGTCATACTCCTATTGAGATGAGGGCAGAGACATTTGTCTTGCATATCAAATGAAATTTCAGGTCCTAGAGAGAGTAATTAATATTCTGCATATTGCATGGTTCTGTAGGCGTGATAGCCTTCTTCCAGATAATGTGACTATTCTTTGTTTTTTTAAAAGTATTTTCATGGAAACAAGAGAGCTTGTTTCAATCTGAGGGGGTTTGTCTTGGTTTGTTTTTTTCTTCTTTCCC